CTGTATATGTTTCTTTATATCACTTTGCATAGCTTTCACTTTTTCCTCTATTTTGCAACCATACTCAGCCATATCTGTGAGCATCCTGATTACCAGTGTTTTGAACTCTGCATCTGATAGGTTGTCTGTCTCTTTGTCACTTAGTTCTATTTTTGGAGTTTTGATCTGTTTTTTCATTTGGGCCATATTTCTTTCTCTCAGCGCACCTGTTAAATTGTAAGGGGTGGAGGCTTAGGTATTCACCAGGGTGGAGTAACTCTCGTTGCTGTGTTGTGGCACTGTATTTGGGGGAGGTTTCAGAGAGGGAACTGTGCCGCTTTCTCACCTCTCTCCTCACTTTCAGTCACTTCCCCCACTACCCACAAGCAAATTGGGCCCTTCTGGTGCATATTCTCTGGATGGATGTGTTCGTGTGTGTTCTAGGACCCTGTGGATCTTTCCAGCAAACACTCCTGTGTGGCTTGGAATTTCTTCTGCCACTGCAACGCCCACAGGTTTTTACCTCAGAGGTTATGAGGCTTTCTTTTCCCACACTGGAGCCCTGGGTTGCATGGTCACTTGCTCCCCACTTGTTCCTCCTTGTTTATCCATGTGAATGTGGGACCACCTGGTCTGCTGGCTGCTGCTTTGCTGCTAATCCTCTCTGCTCCTGATGCCTGCCTCCGCCCCTCCTACCAGTCTGGATGAATGTTTCTTCTTCAACTCCTCTGTTGTTGAAATGCATACAGTTCGATTTTCTGGGAGTTCTGATTGCTTTTCATTTTTTAATTTGTTGTTGTCCTTTTGGTTATGCGAGGAGGCAAAGGGTATCTACCTCTGCCTCTCTCTTCTGCGGAAGTCCACCTTCCTAGTTTCTTAAATTATTTTTATTATATCATTTCATCTCTTCATTTATTCCTTTAATACTAACCCTGATGATTCCATCATATACCCTTGACTCATTAGAGTCTACCTTGAATCAGTGCCTCTTAACACTTTCTGGACATTTAAATTTCCCACATATTTATCCTTAGTCCTCCTCAATACTTACTGCTTTGCCTTGCTTCCATTTGGAATCTTTTCCTTCTGCTCCAAGAACTTGCTTTAGAGAGACAGGGACAGAGTAGTATTCAGTTTGGGGTATGGATGAGTGTAGATATCTTCCATCAACTATTTTTTCCAGGTTTTGTTTGATGGAAAATATTTTTTCTTTCTCTTTAATTTTCTTAAAAGATATTTTCACTGAATATAGTATTTTACTGAAGTTATTTTCATTTGGCACTTTAAAAATAACATTATATTGCCCTCTGACTTCCGATGTTTCTGTTGAAAAGTTAGCTCCTGGACTTAAAAGTTTTCCTTTTAATGTTTCTTTTCTGGACCTCTTTTTCTTTGGATCCCAGCAATTTTACTATAATTTGCTCCTATGCAGTTTTTTTTATATTTATCCTTGTTAAGGTTTGTAGACTTTATTGATTTTGTGGCTTGATGTTTTTAATGTTTTAGATAATGCTAGGCCATTGTCTCTTAAAATAGATTGAATCATGTAGTCAGTCTCCTCTCCTACTGTGACTCCAATTACTTTAATATTCGACCTCTCACCATTCCTAATATAACTGTTAGGCTCATCTGTGTTTCCCATTTTTTCCTCTCTTTAATCTGAGTAGTTCCTGCTATATTCAAATTCCCTGATCTTCTCTTTTGCAGCTTCTAATCTGCCCTAAATTCATCTATTGAATTATTTTCAGATGCTATGTTTTTTGGATCTAGAATTTCCATGTGATTTTCAAAAATGTATTGATTTTGGTTTACTAATGAAATTCTCCATCCTCCTTTTTTATTGAACATATAACTATTTTGAAGGCCATATCTGTTAACTCCACCTTTTTCTCTCCAGGTTGGCAAGACAACTACAGTATCTTTTTCTGCGTGATTTATTAGACTCTAACTCCATGTATACACAGTTTAGGGATTAGCAATAACACTAAGGAAAATTGCAGGTGGAACTTAAACCTAATTCTCTGCTGTTCCCTTCTCCAGGATTTTTGGCCCCTCACAAATTGGTCACTATGATACCCCAAAATTCACAGCCTGTTGAAACCACCTTGAAACCCCAAGTTAGAGCTGTTAATATGGGGCTTACATCAGAGCATTCTCCTCCTGACTGGAGTCTTGGCTGGCCTCTAAGTCTGGCTGTCTGCTTGTTCTCCAGTGCCTCTTTCTTCTGCAGTCCTCCTACTCTTCCATGGCTGCTCCAAGCAGGTGGTTGGATGGTGCTTATTACGTGGCCATGGCTAGGAACATGTAACATATATATATATATTTTAGATCAAGATACAGTTTTATAGTCTCTTCTCATTTAAACCTAGTAGTATGTCTTGGGCATCTCTTCCTATCACTTAAAAAGTTCTTCAAAATCCATACTTTAAATGATTACATATAAAATGTGACTATAGCATCACATATTTTAATTATTCTTCTATTGTTGCATATTTATTTTGTTTAAAATAATAAATTTATTTTGATGGACAGCTTTGTACATAACCAGAGAAGCAGCCAAGGTAGAATTTCTGTGACAAAAGATGGTCAGTGTTTTAAAATATGTATTGCTAAAATGCTTAATGGCAAGGAGGTGCTATTTTATATTTTTATTAACATCATCAACAAAAATAATTATAATTAAAAATTTTTGATAACCCTTTTAATGGTCTATATTTTAATAAAAGTAATGTGTTAATTAAGAATATATAGACTATACAGATAAGCAACGCTGAAGAGATAGAAGCCATTCATGACCTTACCATTAGTTAGCATTTGATGTGTGTTTATTGCCATTGCTGTGTGAATGGAATCATAAGGTACATGCTATTTTTCACTAGGAATAGCTTTTACATCCTAGGATGTCATTACATATTTTTTTTTTTACTACAATGATTTTTAAATTATTTCAGTTGATTGCAAAGCAGAGGAACTGACTTAAGTGTAACCTCGCTATGTAGAATAGATAATACCTACTGTGGTAGAAGCAGAAGTAGGCCTCTGAAGCTCTTCTTGGAACCTCTAGGGTACTGAGGGATACAGATGACTTCAGCTGTATGTGTATGTGTGGTTTAAAATTTATTCAACACAGTATCATTTGACAGGTTGTTGCCCCACCCTTTTTTATTTTTAGTATTATTTCCTTAGGGAAAATTTGTAGAAAGGGAATTTCTGAGTGCAAGGGTTTTAATGTTTGGTTAAATACTTTTCCTGAGTTAATACTCCAGAAAAGTTTCTCCATATATTTCTTATTTCTAAAACTATATAAGAAAGTACCCATTTTCCTACATCTTCACCAATACTTGGTATTTTTTGTTAATCTTTACGAGTTGTTTTCCCCCTAACATTTTATGAAAAGTTTCAAATAATAGTGTAAAGGGGAAAGATGTTTTTACAGTGAACATCCCTCCGTATACTCACACCTGGATTCTACTGTTGGTAAAACAAGCATAAAAATACTTGTTTTATCACACATTTATCTATCTATACTTCTACTCATCCATCTATCTTTCTTAGTTTTTTTCACACATTTCAAGGAGCATTATAGATACCACTGCTCTTCTATCTCAGAACTTCAGCGTGCAATACACAAACAATGTAAGTAATATGTAGACATAAGAGAAAAGTCTGAAGTGAGATTGTAGGGGGCTGTCATCTGTTAGGTTTCAGTTAGCATTTAAGTGTTTTATAATAAACAGCTATTGCTTTTATAATTAGGACAAATAAACATCAAGTAAACACAGACAGGGAAATCCAATCGATGTTTCTATAGAGTATTTAGAATGTGCCAAAAAGCACAAAGAGGAAGGGAGGGGAGATGCTCATAAACCCAGAAGCAATTTTGTTTCTTATATAGTTGTGTGGGGGTTTTTTGTTTGTTTATTTTTTGGTTTGTTTTTGTCTAGTTTCAGAGGGTGGGGTGGCAGGAGTTTTCTTTCAAAAGCTTCTGGGAAAAGCAACCCGAGTGTCCATCAGTAGTAGATGAATGAATAAAACAACGATGGGACATTTACACAATGGAATACCACTCAGCCTTAAAAAAGACAATTTTACCCTTTGCAACAGCACGGATGAACCTGGAGAACATTATGCTAAGTGAAATAAACCAGTCAGAGGCAAATGCCATGTGATTATTCACTCATTGGAATCTAATGAACAAACTGAGCTAACAAGCAAAATAGAGACAGACTCATATATAGAGAGCAGGCTGACAGCTATGGGGAAATTTAGAGGGTGGAGGGATTGAGCAAAAAGGAAAAAGGACTCATGGACATGAACAACAGTGTGGGGATTGCAGAGGTGGGCGTAAGGGGGTTAAATGGTAATGGAAAAAAATACAATAAAAAAAAAAACAACTTCTGGGTGAGAATTATGTATAACGGCAAGATCCCTGAAGGCTGGGGTCCAAAGATCTGGGATGTAGTCCCAGAATTGATGTTAACTACCGAAGCACTTATATCTTTTTATCCCCCCCCCTTTTTTGTATATAATATGAGTGGGAACCCTGTTTATGCTATGAGATAATATATGTGATAGCTTTCAGCAAGCTGTATGTTCTTTCAAACAGTAGGTACATTTTAGAATGGAGATGTGTACACATTCCTAGCATATTGTCAGAAAGCCACCTGCTATTTTTTGTTTCATGCCTAGTGAAAGAAAAACCAGCATACTACCTCTTGGACTGGTGTTCTAACTTATTTGAGGACAGAGTCTAACTGGCATGAAGTACTATTCGAGTGTAATACATCTCAAACCTAGTAGCCTCACCTTTGGCCAGTTAAAAGTGAAAATTTAAGTTAGTGTGTTTTTAATAATTACATATCTTAGCCAGAAGAAATAATAGCTCCCTTGGTGGCATATATCTTGCTTTGTCAAATTTGAATTGTTGTTTGTTTTGAAGATACTTTTTTCATACTTAAAGGTTTTCTAGCTTGTTAATTCTTTTTGTTTTCTTTTTCTGTTTTTTATTTTTCATCTTTCAGACCTCTTCCTGTGCCAAAGTTGCCACCTGGAGAGCAGTGTGAAAGTGAGGAAGAGACAGAGTATATGACTCCCACTTCTAGACCTCTAGGGCTTCAAAAGCCAGAGGTGAAATGGCCTTTGGAGACACGCCAGAATTTACGGTAGGTTCACAGTAATCCTATTTTGGAATTAAGTTGATACCACTCACCAGCTTGGCCTGCTACTTTTGCATAGCATTATCCAGCCACAATTAAAGCAGAAAGATATATTTTTCCTAATGTTTAAGCCTAGTAACAGCTGTAAGCAATTCCACTTAATGTTTCCTCAACATCACAGTAATCTCAAAAATATACACATCTATTTATTACTTATCTCAAGAGTGAATTTTACATTTTGTAGTGATACTGGCAAAAGAATGTTCCCTTGATAGAATCAGGGTCTAGAATAGAGGAGATGAATCTTAGTAAGTTTGCAGTTAACAGAGCTCTATTCCTAAAGATCATTGTGGTACTTTCCTTTCTGGTTCAGAGCGTGTGATTGTGACCAGCAGATTGATAGCTGCACATATGAAGCAATGTATAACATTCAGTCCCAAGTGGTGCCACCTGTCACGGAGAGCAGCACCTTTGGTGAGTAGCTGTTCTGCCATGGGAATGAGCCTATAATATTTGGCTAGTGAGATAGTTTGATTTAAGCAGAAAATTCTTTTAATTTTATTTGCAAAATATGTTTGATCCATCAGCAGTAAAACCTCTTCCTCTCTTTTATTTCCTGTTCACAATGTTAGTTTTTTTTTCTGCTTTTTCATCCTTCCAGGGCCTAGAGAAACTTGTGTTAAATGGCCTGGACCTGCAATGCTGGCAGCTTCCTTTTATTCCCATTGCTTTTTTGCATTGATTATATTATTTTGTGTGTGTGCGGTAAATACTCAATTTCAACATTAACTAGCTTACCACGTAGAAAGTTCAGGAAGGCAGCATAGACAGGGCCTTCCAAAGTGAAAAGATAAGATTTTGAATGAATGCTACAAAGTGGCGCTTAAGTGGCTTAATCCTGGCAAGAGTAGCTTTTGACATGTTCAGAAAGGTGGAGCTGCAGAATTGGTATAGATTTTATTTTCTCTTTTAGCTCAATGCACACGGCCTCACCTGGTGTTTGGACCGCAGTAAACATTTAGTAATGGCTTGACTCTGTCCATACATGCCTGAAGGAAAGGATACCCTTATATCGAAATGTGTTAGAAGATAAAGTATGCTAGAAGAAAATAACTGTACAATCTTTGCTCTAGGTGAAGGTAATTTGGCTGCAGGCCATGCTGGCATTGGCCTGGAAGAATCAGAAAATGAAGATGATGGGTATGATGTCCCTAAGCCACCTGTGCCAGCAGTGCTGGCCCGCCGAACTCTCTCAGATATCTCTAATGCCAGCTCCTCCTTTGGCTGGCTGTCTCTGGAAGCTGATCCCACAAGTGAGTCTCCAGGCTGCCTTGGGTTTGTACTGAATTGCTGTATGGCTCCTAATTTATACTGAAATAGAAATGAGTGACTGCCTGGTGACAGTAAATCAGTAGCTGGAAGTAGTAGACTAGAAAGTATCTCTAAATGGGAGGAAAGTGGGTCCTGGGTCCCAAATTAGGAAGTTAAACTGTAGTCATATTCTAAGATTTTGCCAGACTTAGAAATGATGTCGTTCCTTAAATCGCGGCTCCTCCTGTGCTGGAGGTGAGAAGGAGTTCTGTGCTACTGACAGTGGTTTCTGACAGTGGTTATTAAGCTCAGTGGTTCAGACCACACATTCCTGCCTTCTGGGCTCCATTCCATTGGACAGGACGTGTGCGGGCTCTAGGAAGCACACTGAATGGGCATGGAGCCAGCACATATATGAGTCTTGACTGTCAAGGTCTGTTTTTCTTGTACCTTTGGCTGCCTGGGAGCGCTGCAGCCAAAGTTGCTGTCACTTTCAACAGCTGGAGAAAAAGAAATATAGCATCCATTTGCTGAAACAGGCAGTGATCCCCATCCACTGGCCTTGTTTAATGCTTCACTGCAAATTATGCTTATTTCTATTTTGTTATTTGGAAAAAAGGAATTACAGTGTCTTTTCTCTGCCCCTCAGAGAATTTTAAAAAATAATCCAGGCAGTAATGTATATGAAAACTTGTTTCTAAATGTAAAGCATGATGCAAATGCAGATGTTCTGTGCTTATGATGGTAGTGATTATTGTTAGCAGAACAGGTGCAGTGGTATATTTAGAAGGTTGTTTTGGCTGTGAGAAAGAGGGGCCTATGTTCTAAAATCCTTGAACCTGTAAAACCCAGTCTTTTTTTTTTTTTAACTTATTTATTTTTAGAGGGAGAAAGAAAGGGAGAGTAACATCAATATGTGGTTGCATTTCGCACACCCCCTGCTGGGGACCTGGCCTGCAACCCAGGCATGTGCCCTGCACTGGGAATCAAACTGGCAACCCTTTGGTTCTCAGGCTGGTGCTCAGTCCACTGAGTCACATCAGCTAGGGCTCTTTTTTTTTTATTTTTTATTTTTTTAGTGATTTGGGAGAAAGAGAAGAGGGGAAAGAGAAATGATTTGTTGTTCCAGTTATTCATGCAATACTCTGGTTTCTCTTCAGAACAAACAAACCTTTCGCCTTTCACTTATTCACGCATTCATTGGTTGCTTTTTGCTTTTAATCTTTCTTTAAATTATTTTTTAAATTGTTGCTCTATTACAGTTGTCCCAATTTTCCACCTTTCATAGGTTGCTTTTTGTATGTGCCCTGACCAGGGATTGAGCCTGTAATGTTGGTATATCGGGATGATGCTCTAACCAACTGAGCTACCCGACCAGGGCACCCAACCTTTTGACTGAAGAATGTATGTTCCCAATTGACAGTTGGTCAGTGATGTTTTGATATTAGCACATGTTGTTATTGCTGCCATTAAATGAGTATTTCCCCCCACATTTGCAAATATTTTGTTTCCTATTTCTTCTAGACTTCACAGAGGGTTCCCAAGTCCCTGAGAGGCCTCCCAAGCCATTCCCTCGGAGAATCAACTCTGAACGAAAAGCGGGCAGCTCTCAGCAAGGTGGTGCTGCTGCTTCTGCAGCCACCACCTCACCACAGCTCTCCAGTGAGATTGAGAACCTCATGAGTCAGGGATACTCCTATCAGGACATTCAGAAAGCTTTGGTCATTGCCCACAACAATATTGAAATGGCCAAGAATATCCTCCGGGAATTCGTTTCTATTTCTTCTCCTGCCCATGTAGCCACCTAGCACATCATCTTCCTGCTGCAGCTTTAGAGGACCAATGAACTGGGAGCTCTTACTTGAGAAGCTCCTAAAGGACAGAGAGGTTTTTTTGGAGACTTCACAACGGAATTTAGCCCTGTCTGTGGGATATCACATCTTTGGTTCTAAGATTGCAAAGCAGTGGGATGAAAATGGATCAGCTGTGGTGTTATATTATTTTATTTGTTTTGGGAGTACATTTGAAGGTGTCCTTCAGTTCCCAATTAGAGAGAGTGGATTTTTTTTTTTTTTAATGATAGCCTACCTGGGGAACAGTACAGAAAGCAGTAAGAGGAGTATTGTGCTATAAATCTTAATTGAGGACTTGAGACTTTCCTGGGTTTAAGAATGTGGTTGTGCACATGTGTCTGTCTGTGGTTGTATGTGTCCTGTGATGATAAGATTAATCTGCTGTTTGTGTTAATCCCAGGCAGGGAAAATTAGCACAAGAGGTTTAGGAAGGAATCTTACTAAAACTTCCAGACACTGTGGTATTATACCCAACCCTGGTGTGTATTACAATTTCAACACTCCCCTGTGTCTTGGATTATCATATGCACAAAGTCTTGTAATTTTAGAATACCTCCCCTCTATCCTTCCCCTGTTTCCTTTTTCCTCCTCCTCCTTAGTGTCTCTTGTTGGCAGTTAACTTGCTATGGTCAGCCCTACTGAAGCCAAGCGATGTATAGGATGTTCTTTATTGTGTATGATGGTGTTCATTTGTTTGATAGGTGGGGTAAAAAGGTTCTGTTGCTGTATGATTCTAGTCATGTTTGATACTAGCAGCTAGCCCTAGTCACTCCAAAGCACTGTTTCTATAGGAACATTGAATCGGTTAAAATAAGATGTTTTAATTATCCTAACTAGATAATGAGTAATTTGAGATAGAGGCCTTCAAATACATTCCATGTTCTCACCAGAAAATAGTCTGAGAGAGTCAGTTGCCTTGGTACCAGATACATATGTGTCTGATGTAAGTAAAAGTGTTTCTACTTAATGGGAAGGGAAGAACATTGGTTTCCAGCATGGCTCTTGACCTTGTTATCCATAAAGTGCACAAAATAGACAGTAAGGATTTATATGTTCATTTTTGATTCCCAATTAATTCCAGTTTATATGAGTGTCTCCGTTTGAATATGAGCCAGGTTATATTTTCTGAAGTGATTTTCTTTCTATGCCGTTTAGGAATGGGGTACTGTCCATGGTAGCTTGGCATTTTACTACCCAAAAATTTGATTTTCACTTGTGCCTATGGCTTTGGGAATGTAGTACCTCCTTTCCCTTTCCTCTTCTCCTTAGGTTCTGTATACACTTTAATGACTGTGTTCCCAAAGTAATTAGACATCATTTAGTGTAATAAATGACTTTACTGTAGTCAGGGACAATATGTGAATGGCCAGGCAGTTTGTGTAGTTGCAGTTTCCTAAAGCAGATTCAGAATCCAGTGTGGAGCACCATTTGTTTTTATAAATACTACCAATGACACCTTGAGTTCAGGTCATTCTCTACCTAGTCTTTTGCTGACTTCCCTAGCACGATGTAACCTTCTTCCTTATCAGAAGCAAGCCTGCTTTGTTATTAATTTATCCTCTTTGGACTCTAAATCATGCTTTTGTCTTTAGATCTGAACAGAAATGACTCACTCTCCTTAGATCTCTTTCCCATCTTGCCATCTTTATAAGTAAAACTTTCTCCAACTCCTCTCTTGGCTTTTAGCTGTTCATATATCTTTTGGTTTTATTCCCTTATCTCAGAGCCATTTATATTCTCATGGTAGAAATACAGGACTTGCTCACTTGCCGTGGTTGCCCAGTGTCTCCTCTGCGTGGTGGAGAACAACATAGCCCACTGCTGGGTGTAGGAGGCCCTCAACTGGAGTAGAGGCCAGAGGAAAGTGGCAGCGGCTAGGAAACAGTAACTTGGCTTTTTCTAAAAGCCAGACTAGTGTTTCATTTGTGGTAACATTTATTTTTGTGTTTTGTTGAGCTATTGAAGGCCTAGACGGAAAACTAAGAACATGACAGCAGGTTTCATGCCTAACCATACAGGGATTTATTTCCTTGTCTGTAGATATTACCCGTAATCTAAAGATCTATCAAGATACCAAAGCCCTGGTTCTGTAGAGCCTTTGCTCTTCAAAGAGCATCCAAAGTCTTTTTTTCAGATTATGTCCTTGCTTATGTAGGCTAAGGACAAGTTTATCCTTTCTTTTCCCAGTGGAGTATTTGTGTTGCTTTTTGGGTCCTTCCTGAACTGGGGTGCCAGATCCTTGTGTTGAACACGTACACCATTGATCGGAGTATTAGCTTGTCAGTTTTGTATCTGGAGGTATTCACAGTTTTAGACCGTTCTGTGTTTTTCTCTTTGGGTGCTCTGAGGGTACATCCAGGTCCGTGCCTGAGATTGCCAGGCAAGCCTCAGGAAAATTTTCATATGGCTCCTGTTTTGAGGATATTCCTCAGATATCTTAAATTTTCCTTTGATGAAGGCCCTAATAACTTGTTCCTCGAACTCCATTTTTATGGCACTTTTTAATTCTTTGGCTCTGCTCTGAATTCAATTAAAATTGTTCTTTCACAAGTAGACTTTTGAGTTTTGCCATCCTGGAAAACTCATCCCTTTTTCCCCTCCTATTTACAATTGATTCCTCCTCTGTTAACTATCAGGTATATAAGGTAAAACAACTTTGATATTTTCCTTTTTCTTAAATGCATTAGGCTATTCTGTTCAACCCAACCTCCTGCTGTCCTGGGTTGCTTTAAATAGCCTCCCACATTAACTGGGCGTCTCCTCTGCAGGACTTGCAGTGATCTGCCCATCCCATCTCCCACTAATATGTAGTGCTCTCAAAGTGGAAAAAACTGTGGACTCTATGCTCTACCTCCCTTTAGGTAAATAATAGATTGGGCAATTTATCTTCTCGCATTTATCTATTACTCTATGTAAATAGTGGATCGTCATTCTCTCCCATGGCCGTCTCTTTCCTCAGCCCCATTCTAAATGTTCTGCCCTTCTTCTGATTGCTCTCTTCTTTTATAGACTTTCAACACCAGGGCCCAGGATTTATCATTTTGCTGTTTTATGGATTTAAAAAAAACACCTTGGAGGGGATGTTGCTATTCTTCATACTTGAAGTATTTATTTCTTATATAGAAAAGTAAAGTATATTTTATGAACCAAACAGCAAACATACAAATGAATTTTTGTAAATTGCTTGCAGAGTAGGAATCCAGCTGTATATTCCCTTTAAGGCACTATTAACAAGATGTAGACCTTTTTTTTCTTTTTTATTGAAGTACAATTGACATGTTATATTAGTTCCAGGTATACAGTATTTTGATTCAACATTTATATACACTGCAAAATGATCACCATAGTAAGTTCTTAAGTTTAGTAAGTATTCATCACCATACAAAGTTACAAAAATATTTTTTCTTTGTGATGAGAACTTTTTAAGATTTACTCTCTTGGCAACATTCACATATGCACTAAAGATCTACACCTTTTTGTGGTTGATAGCAATGGTGTTAATGCAGAATCTTCTCCTACCTCACATCATGAAAGTCAAAGGGTTATAGACCTTCTTCCCAAGTGTTTGGAAGTCCCCCTTCTTACTGTGTTCTTCCTGGTTCTGTCCATGGAATAACAGTATTCTGACCATTGACCTGGCTGTTTTTCAGTTCGTTCATTCAGCAAAAGTTATGAGTGATTTACCATTTGCTGGAAGTGTCAGCTCTGTGTTCTCTCCACCACCATGTGGTGATTTACTGACGTCGGGGGATTGTACTTGGCTGCCCAGCACTTGTATTTTGGACCTAAAGTAGCCCTTCACAGTAAGACTGTAGTTTTTATTCACGGCACTTACATTTCCTTTCAGAGCTCTCCTGGGTAAAGGATCTGTGTGGTGAGTTGAGGGGTATGTTGGCTGAGAATGGCACAATAAAGCAATTAAATGTTTAAGCAAAGTATCTGCCCGCAGTTCCCTTTCCAATCTAGTGCCTTCCTTCATCTGTTTTACCTGGGCCACTTGTGTCCTTGATCTCCTTTGTTGGGAAGTTTCCTTATTAGCCTTCTGTGACCTGTCACCATCTCCCATTCTGTTTGGAACTTGTTCTCCAATCCTTCATCAGGCTTTGCAGCTAATCCTATGTTTTAGAATGGCTGAGGGTGTGGGAAATGGATGGGCACTTGTCTTTGGGTCCTGATTTTCAACCAGTTGTTTGGTCTCCCTACAGTTAGGCAGTAAAATAGACTGAACTCAGTCACTTCTCAAATATGTCAGCCTTCCCCTGGCTGGGTGGCTTAGTTAGTTGGAATGTCATCCTCTGCACCAAAAAGTTGCCAGTTCACTTCCCAGTCAGGGCACATACCTAGATTGTGGGTTTGATCCCCGGTCGGGTCACATATGGGATGCAACCAATCAATGTTTCTCGCATTTCTCTTTCCTCTCTAAAATCAAATGTACCCTAGAGTGAGAATTTTTTTAAAAATGTCAGCTTTTGTCTCTTGAGGTAGGGAACTTAGAGACCTCATATATCCTAGAACTTAGTACTAAAATCAATACATCATTATCCTCCTAGACTTTCAGGCTGCATAGTGCTTAGTGGAAGAAGATCAAGGTTGTAACTTTGACTACCCTGTTTGGGAATACTTTAGATGCAAGAAACAAGTACTGAAGCTAAAGAAAGGAGGGAGTCATAAGGTTGCAGGGTATTTCACAGAACCCAAGACAAGAAATACACTTGACTCTTGCATGGAACTGGAACACTATGCACCTAGTCCTTTTGCTTGTCACAGTGTTTATTGGCATGCATAGGTCCAGAATAGACACCCCCAATCCTCAAGTCCACAACTCTAGAGATCACCATGAACCAGATTCCAGTGCCTCTTTGTTCATATTCTCAAGAAAGAATATGATCACCCTAGCACATTGATTGAGTATCTACCCCCTCAACCAGTCAGCCTTGCCACACAGGGTGACAGCAGCATGCTCCTTCGGGGGACAGGTGGAGGTTCTCGGAGAAGTGGGTATAGATGGGAGAGATACCCTAAAAATACTTCAGCAGTGAACTGCTATCCTACTACTATTTTGAGAATGAAAAGGCAGCTGAGGGACTGCGTCTTGGACATCAAGGAAATTCTTACGTTTAAATTAATTCACGTTGCTGTCATCTTTGTTCATTTACTATTTTTCTTCTTTTTATAGTCTTGGTTTCTTTTTGTGAGTCAAGATTTCTTACCTGCCTCTTTAGGACCCAAGTTTCTCCTGTTTGGAGCTAGTCTGTTTTAGGGTGACATTTCTTAGCCCTCATTCCATCGCAGGTTTTTTTAGCCTTCTTTCATGTCATTTAGAGAGCAGATCCCAAATCCCACTGTAGTCACCCATGGTCTTCTGGCTGTCTTCAGGTTTTGGCATTGACAGTAGATTCATTCTGTGGCCTGTGTCCCTCCGTACCCTTCTCCTCACCCTTCCATTTGGTCTTTCCTATATGAGGAGAGCTTCTCAGTAATATTCTTAGGGAGCCTCCCTAGGTACCTCAGAAACTGCTTTGTTGCAGCCAGTAAGAATATGTAGTAGTCAGGAGAGTTGTCAGGATATAATAATATTATTCCACTGGTTCCAGCTCAGGATGGAGTGGGTTTTTTTTGTTTTTGTTTTTAAATGGAGAACTCTTTAGACAGGATACCTTCACCTTCCCTGTCCAATTGCTTTCTTTGTAGTCCTTTATTAAAACCTTTATTTTTATTTTTGAAACTATGCTTCTGCTTGCCTGAATCTTTGATCTTATTTATCTCATCCTGTACCCTGTCCTGTGTTATTAAGGCTTTTTATAACTAGAACTTTTAAAAACTATTTGGAGTTGTTAAATATACATAGAAGTAACCTAATAATCCAAAGGTGTACACTGAGGCACATGGTGCAGGGTGGGTTATCAGACTTTACCTTTGATATTCTAGTCTAGGTTCTGTCTTCAGTGTACTAGAAACTTGGGTTGGTTTCAGAGAGGAGTACCACGTTCCTTGGTTCTGGAAAACTGCACAGAGTAAGAGGTGGGGAATTAGGGGTGCATAGGTGCTACGTGGAAGCTCATTCATAGTCCCATGGGAAACACTGCCCCTCTTCTTGTGTAGTGCTTGAGAAGAATGTGGCTTACCACTCCTGTTTGTGCAGTGTAAAGGCCGAAGGCCACCCTCTAATCTGCTGATTTGGCAGCTGAACAAATCAGAGTTCTAATCGCCCAGCCCCATACTCTTGACTCAGTCTCAAAAATTAATGTGGGAGGCACCTTCCACATTGCCTCACAAGTTCTACCCCTGAACTAGATTGGGAGGCCAGAGGAGGCTCGCTCAACACATGCTCTGTGCACCTTCTCAGGCCTTGCATTGGGCTGTACTGTGGTCAGTTCTGTCCCTCCTCCTCGCCTCTGACCCTGTTATGATGGGCAAGAATAGCTATCTGGAAACTGAAGAGGGAGAGAGCTACTTGTGAGTCTGTAAACCACGTCTTTTCTCTTCCTTGGCCTCTTTCGCTGTCTGGGTAAGCCTGCAGGAGCAATGCCCATGAAAGTAGATGCCTCTTGACCTACCCATCTCAGCATTGTTGTAGTGTCTTGGCCTTAACCTGCTGAAACATGTGGTTGGGCCATGGCAGCTATCAAGTACCTCTTATATCTGCTTTCTGGCTGTGGTGACTTGGGATTTTTAACCTTATATGAGTATATCTTTTTCTTTTATTCAAAACAAAAACAATTTTTAGCACACTGAAAAAAAAAAAGCCAAACATTTTGTGCCTTTCTAAGGCAGTGCTGTATCCCAGGCTGCATTTTAAACTTAATATGGAAATACTGGAGTCAACTCTCCTCTACCTTGAGTGTCACTGATTCCCTAGTCTTAGGGAAAAAGAAGAAGTACTCTGTGTGGCTGGAGATGACACACAGGTGCATTGTGTCAGTGGTCCCTTTTCCTTGCTGTGATGCTTAGTTGGAAGAAACAATCATTGTACCCTGGGATCATTTGGTTGCTTCCCATCGGAGTCTTAGTTATCAGGTTGAATGCTGTCTTCATCCAGCAAGAAGAGACACAATGTCCCGTGATTTCCAGGTCTACTCTGGACCATTTCAAGTGTCCCAGCCTCCTGATCCTATTCATGACCCAGCTGCACGGAAGTGTCAGATAGACTCTCTTAAGAAGGGGAGGTGGTTTTTGTCTTGTCTTTTTGGTGGATCCTGAACTGGCCTAGACCTCCTGCCTCTCCCTTTCTTTTGAAGACTTCAGACTGAAAGCATGAAGCAGCTAGTGCCCTCCGTGGGGTCTAGCTTCCCCTGGGAAAGGCAGAGAGAACCACGTAACAGAATCCTGTCACCAGTATTGTGGTCACTAGGTCTCAGCGGGGGCAGAGGTGGGAAATGCTTTCTATATAATAGCATTTTACTTCTTTCCCTTTTCTCAGTTCTTCCCTGCCTTTAACTAATAAATAATTTGGAGATAGAAACAATTCTTCTTAAAGTCTTTTTTTGGGGGGATTTAACATTCTGGGGCTGGAGGGAGCTTGATGCTAACTCCAGAATAAAGAGTCTCAATTTGTATATCAGTGTTAAAAATTAAACATGGAAACTTAGATTTTTGTTGGCTATTTTAAAAATGTGTCATTAATATAAAAATTTTATGTTAGTATTTAATCATTCTCACATGTAAAGAATAAGACAGAAGGTAAATATTCTTACAGAGAATAGCAGAGCTTTAAGATTCATTTTCATTTTAAGTCCACTTTGTTTTGCCAATGTATTAATGTGTAGAGGTCTGTTATACTAATGTTATTTATTAATTCATTTATATACACAGTTAACTAAAGAGCTTTTTCAAGCACTCATGTCTGTAAAAAAGTATTTTTAAATAAAGTTTCTTTTGTTGTAGCTGACTTGAGTTCTTGCTCTTTTGTGGGGGTGGAGGAGTGATGCATCAGGCAGCTATAGATTCACTTACCACAGCAAGTCTGTACTGCTACCTTGAGGACAAGTCACAGTGACAGGAAAGTGTAGAAAAAGGGCAAGAGCTCCTTGCCAACAGCCTGCCAGGCCCTGTTGGCTGCCTGGACCAGGGCAGCTCTGCTGCTGAGCAGCGAGACTGTCCTCTGTGCTAGAGCTTAAGCCATTTGCTCTGCTGCCAACTGCAAAGCGTTTGTGTTCTTTTTGGTACCATTCCAATTGCAGAGGCCCCAGGCTGCTGTAGTCCCCATGATGAATAAAAAGCAGTGTAAGATTTCTGGAACAATTAAGCTTTATTTATTTTTGGTGTGTGTGTGTGTGTGTGTGTGTGTGTGTGTGTAAAGGAAACCATTTGCAAATTTACACACAACAAACCACACCAACACACAAATACATGTATATACCCTAAGCTCTAGCCAAGTCCCTGTTTCTTATCCCTGAAGTACCATCCTCCCATTAGGGCCCTTCTTTTGTGGTCTAGGTCCATTAGCTCAGTTTCTAGAAGTTTGGTGCTAGTATATGACCTTAATCCCCTTCAAGGACCATGTGGACCTCATCTCTGTCCCCTACTCTCACCTTTCAGTCATATAATTATGAGAGCCAAATGAATATAGGGGCTTGTACTCAATGGCCTTAACTCTGGAAAACAGAGCAGTTTCCTCACTGCAGGGACAATGAGATATGACCAGCAAGTGTTTGAAGGAATGATACCAGTTCCGGCCTTCTGCCCAGAGAAAGGAGTGTCACAAAAGGGACTCCAGAGGCAGACAGGTAACTACTTCCAGATTCTGCTAGGGTACTGTCCAGAACTAGTGTGCACAACACACTTCACCAGCGGAGAAGGGGCCTGGGCTCTCAGTGCATCCTCACAGCAGTGATATGACTGAATTTTGAAGCCAACTTCGGGGCAGGGAATCACCTCAAGATAAATAGGCTAATTCAGTAGCTGTTGATAGAAGGGTATTTACATCCATAGTATGTGTAAAGAGAAAACATGTTTTGCAAGAAACTCTCCTGTCCACTCCCGGAATATTGAGGCACCTGCTTGGGGTGAGCATCACAACAAATTGAGACAGTGGCAGAGTGGTCCCTCAGGAGGGGGTTGCTGGGGCCATCTGAAGTCCTCAGGATGGCTCTGGTTCTAGCCCTTTGACCCTCTGAAATGTGGTCCGCAGGTAGACTGGAGTAGGGGTCTTCTCTGTTGTCCATTTTAGAGGCTTTGGTGACCATCCTGAGTGCTGGGGACAGGAGTGAGCAGGGAGCAGGACGTGTCCAGGCAAAAAGAGTTCAGTATGATTCAGCAGCTAGTGCCTCAGATCGATGTATTTCTCTCCCTAAAAATGGGGAAAGAGAAGTAAGAGAGGAATGTGGAGATAGTGACCAGAGTTTAGGGTGTGAACACTAAAGAGGGAGGAGGGACTGAAGCAAAAGCTGATGGACTAGGTATAGCAGTCTGGAGGGAAGAAGCAGGGGCGGGTATGGCAGGGCCAGGAAGGAATCTAGGCCCCTAAGTCACACCTTGTGACATGAGCCACAGTATGTTCAGGAAATGGTGATGGTGATGGTATGGGTCTTTGTTCTCAGTCCTGGGAGCTACCCTGTCCAGGATCCATCCCTTAGCCATGTGCCTGGCCCTACCATCTGTGAATAGTGTTAAGGAGAGCAAGATGTGGTCTGCTCCCAGTCTTCAGCAGAGAAGAATGAAGAATAGAAAGTTAGTGTTTGGGGGAAGTGAGAATAATTAGCCCCTGTTGCCAATCCCTGCCAGGGATTGTTGCCAATCCCTGAAGTTGCATCAGGCACTGGCCATAGGAACTGCCTCCTACCTGGTCTCCTGGAGCCCTCTTGTCACCGTTGCTGCCCTGTAGGAGGCCCATCTCTTCTGGGCGCTTATCTGACTTAACTTCAACTACAAATTCGTTCTTACGAGATGGGGGCAGCGTTCTGGGAGGAGGAAGGGAGGCAAGAGGTTGGCAAAGGAAGGATAGGGCTCTTGGGAAAGACATTGGGCTGGGTGATGGGCTCTTTGGTGCTCTGGGGCCAACGGAGGGAAGGGAAACAGGTACTGAATGAAAGGGAAAAAGTGTGATTGATGGGAGCTTGGTAGTGGGCAGTGAAGCAGGGAGTGCTCAGACCCAGTGCCCCACTCCTGCTCCTAAGGGGTGAGTGGGTGCTGGGGCAAGCAGGGGGACATCCTGAGTAAGCAGAAAGCTGGGTAACACAATATGGGGTTAGGGGCAGGGTGCTAGGAACCATGCTTACATCTCTTGTTTGCCTGACCGCCCACAAGGCAGCTTGCCCTTCTTGTAGAAGAAATAGAGGACAGCACCCAGCACAGCCAGGACCAGGAGGCACACAGTCACAGCCACGATGACCACACCCTTGCTTTTGGGCTCTGGCAGCTTTTTCTCTGTCCCACAGAGACACTCCTAGTCACTCCCTGCCCCAGGCCGTGGCATTTCCATCACTGCCCCACCCAACCAAAGCCTGAGAGAGATGGGCCGCACTTACCTTTCTGGACAGGGTTTTGCAGGGATAGTCAGGGCACAGTGAGGATGCCCTGGCACTGTCCTGTTCTTGGGCCAGGCCTAGCTTACCTGTGGAGGTGATGTTGGCTTTGGCATAAGGACTGACAGTGGAGGTGATGAGACCAGTGGTTCCGTTGGAATCTGGTGTGAGAGCAGTTAATGGATTGGGAGGGAGGTCTGGAAGAGCATAAGCTGGTGCCCATGCCTGGGCATGCCCCCAACATGCTCTGCAGGCTGAGGCCCATACCCAGCTCCAGGAAAATGATGGTGCTGTTTTTGCCCAGGGAGTTGGAAGCCACGCATTCAGCACCCGTCTCCAACAGCTCTGGAGTCACAAGGACACTTAGGATGCTCAGGACCCTCTGTGGATCTTGGTCTTGTTCATTTGTCTGCAAGAAAGGAGCAGCTCAAGGGATGGGGAGGATGTCCAGCCATGGCAGCAAAGCCTGGGCAGGGATTAATGAGAACATGGGAAGATGAGATGTGCCTGCTCACCATGCCACCAACACTCCAGGAGATGGTAGGCCGAGGATGTCCCGAGGCTTCACAAGACAGATTCAACATCGTGTTCTCCTGCACCTGCAGCTTCCTCTCCTTTAATGCCACCCATGGTGGCCCTGGAAAGGCAGCAAACTGCTGGCTTGCCTCCCCCTCCCCACAGAGCACCCCAGGGCAGTGAGTGGTTTTATGTCCTCAAAGAACTTGAAATACCCAGCTTGGGGTGGCTTCAAGGGGCCGCCTGATCTCTGCCCAGAGGGCCTCACCCAAGATGGTCACGTTGACCAGCTGTGTAGAGTTCAGGCCAGGCACGGTGGGCACGAACGCCATGCAGCGGTAGCCTCCCCCTGCCTCCCGGTTCAGGTTGTGTAATTGAAGCACAGACCCCTTTTCCAGCACCTTGCCTGTCTGGGGTGAGAGACATGTCAGAGGCCACTCCCACCTCAACCCACCTCCATCCACCCCACAGCCCCAGGGCCACTTGGGTACCTTTTCTCTCAGCCACTGGAACTCAAGAGCCTGGTTACTCTCTGCCTCACAAGTCAGGGTGAGGTTGCTTCCCTCTTGGCTTTCAGGGGCTGCGGGGTTCACCCTGACATCAGATACATCTGAGGACAGCAAGTGTCAGCATGTTGGGGACAAGGTGGGCAGGTTCCCTCTTGCCCAGCCTGGTCCCCCTGTCCTGAGCCCCCAGTCCCTCACAGTTCACCAGGAGCTCCTGTTGGCCACTCAACAGCGATGCCATGGTTTCCAAATCCAGGCCCTGACATTCGTAGAGCCCACTGTGCTCCTTGTGGGCAGACTCCAAGACCAGAACCCCATTGTCATTGGTTGTCTCCTCCACCACCTCCCTGGTGCTGAGGTTCTGGGAGAGGATGCAGGGGTGAGCAGAGTGCACCTCCATCCCTTCTATATCCTTGTATATACCCAGCACCCACATGAAGCCCTCTGTACCTGCTTGCTGATGCTGAAGTGGGGTTGGGGGTTGCCATCAGCCAAACACCTGATTTCCACACGGTCCCCTTCCTTCAGCATCCCCATGGGCTCCACTTCCAACCACACTTTCTCTGCTGGGTCTGCAGAGTAAATGGGTAGCTCTCAGCCCACACTGCCCATGCTTGGGTGCGGGGAGGCTAGCAGGCGTCATCCCCAGGCCCAGACCCAATATGATGGTCAGCACTTACAGAAAACGGGGACAGAGACTTCCCCCGATTCCTTCATGTGGTTCCCACTGGGCAGCCGATAGTTAAGCTCACAGTAAAACCGGGCATCTTTGTCCTCCTTAAGCAGCTGTGCCTTCAGGACACTCCGCACGGTATACAGACCACTAGACTCCACAGTCTGGGATGACTGAATGTGGACCCCTGGGCAGGGAGGACAGGGAGAAGGGCTTGGCCTCAGCCTTGCCTTCAACCCACCTATGGTCTCCCTGGATTAGCACGGGAGATGTGAAGGGACTGCAGAGGCCAGGTACAAATGGCGAGCTATAACCCCAAACCCAGCAGTTTCACTGTTTGATATCCACCAAAACAAACACACATGGGCACACACACAAGGATGTGTGAAAATAATGCTGCAGTAATGAAAAAAGGAAATGTGGAAACACTTTAGATGTCTACTAACATGGGCATGAATGGAATCCTGGGCAGAAGGCTACACAGGTAGGTCTAAATAGACCTATAAAGATTTCTAAGACATTGTAAAAAGAAAAATAGAACTGTATAACAGTGTATGCTATACAATACCCTTTAGATCAGGGTTTCTCAGCCTCAGCACTACTGAAGTTTTGGGCTGGATAAAATTCTTTGCTGCAGGGATTGTTCTGGGCATTGTAGCATATTTAGTAGCATTCCTGATCTCTACCCACTAGATGCCAGTAGCCCCTTTCCTTGCCTCAGTTATGACACCAAAAATGTCTCCAGGTGTGACCAGATGTCCCAGAGAGGGAGAAGAATCACCCCTGATTGAGAACCACTGTTAGGTAATAAAAAACAAAAGCCTATGTATTCCTAGATGTATTTGCCAATATGAGTAAGTACATAGAAACAGGCTTGAAAGAACATATACTGATAGCAGAAATTAATTCTGGGGCAAGGGTCGTGGGTCTGGGGCAGGAAGGAAATCTTCCTTTTAGCTTTTCTGTACAGTTTAAATTCTTATGTAAATATTTTCAAGTATCACTTGTGTACTTAAAAAAAAAAGTAAAATAAAACGTAAGGTGGTCCCTGTGTGGCTCCACAAGCATGGTTTTTAGGAGCAAGAGGGCTACTCACGGTTCTTCTCCTCCTTCAGAGGCCTTCTATTCTTGTACCAGATGACTTGAGGGATGGGGTACCCATTTCTCCCCACACAAGTAGCAACCTACGAAAAATAGGGTGAGTCTCCCTGCTTCTGAGACCCTGTCAAGCCCTGCCGTAGCTCCTCTTGCCACCTGGCCATCTTAGCATATCTCACCTCCTCTGGCTCCTGACTGTTCACAGAAATGCCCAAGGCATTGGCCTGGATGCTTGGCTCCTCTGGAGCTTCTACAAGGAAGAGAAATGAAGAGGGGCATGGGGCTAGCACTGCATCTGACCCACACTGTCCTCAAGGCATGGATGGGACACTCACTATAGACACGGAGCTGGAAGCGGTGTTCCTGGCTCAGCCGAGGGCGCTTGCCCTGGCACAGGAAGATGCGCTCATCATGGGGGGTGACATGTGTCAGGGCCAGAGTAGTCCCTTTGTCCTGGAGGCTGAGCCGGTGCTGGTACTCCCCAGGTTCGCTCTGCCCCTGGCCCTGGTGCACGCGGAAGATGAGTGTTGGCTTCTCCTTGTGGACCTAAGGGGAGGCAATAGAGGGGGTGCGGGTCCTGGGCTACCTGAAGGGTAGAGCTTCCCCACTGATGCCCTGCCTGGAGCCCCAGCACTCACAGAAAACCAGTCCACGACATGGCTGAAGTTGCCCTGGGAATGGGGGGGACCACACTTGAGTAGGGCTGTGCTGCCCACTTCCACCTCCACCAGCTCAGGCTCAGGCTGCTCTGCCTCTCCAGGCACACCTGGGGGTGAGAGGAGGAGCGCCCCAACAATGTCAACTCTCCATCCTGTCCAGCTGCTCTCCATCCCCTCCCTGCACACCACTCACTGCAGCTGTTCTTCCTGCCTCTTGGAGTATCTGAAGAGAGCCCTGTCCTCTTCTAACACTCAGCCACTCTCTACCCGCTGCCTCAGGCCAGCCCTCTCCCAGTTCAAGGGAGTTAGGATGGTAATCTCTGGTCATTGGAGCAGACTCTGGGCGCCAGGCACCTCTATGATGAGGCTGGCAGAGAGGGCAACCCAGGCTTGGGGCCAAGAGGAAGGCCCTTTTCCTTCTAGGCCCCCTCCTCTGAGTGAGCTCAGAGTGTGGGAATGTAAAGCATGTGCCAGGCTGGGGCACACAGGCCCCTTTGTGTCCCCACATCCAGGGGAAGACGTCACTACTCTACCCTTTGCCCCCCCGCCATGCCCCTCCCCAAATCTCCCATAGGACTCATTGGTCCAATCCTGGCCCGAACCTCCATTTTCATGCTCCCTAAGAAGCCCCTCTGTGAACATCCCACACATTCCCATCCTGGGAGTCTTGTGAGTGTAGAGGGCTCAGAATCACCCCCAGGGGTCAAGACAAGGGCCAGGAAGTGAGCAAGAGTGACGTCAGTGGTGCCTGCGTGCTGCCCGCTCTGTTTGGAGGTGACGTCATTCAATACCATCCGCCTGGGCTCTGGGATCCTATCTGACTGGACCCTGGGTTGTTGCCCTGGTCTGGGTCCCAGACAAGGAGGACAGATGGAGTGGTCTTCAGCCCTGAGCAGAAGTTTCAGATCCCTGATTCGGTTCCCCCAGATGTAGAAGAGCAGGGCAGGGTGAGGCTGGACCTGCAGCTGCTGTGGAACCTGATCTAGGCCTTTCCCTGCGAAATACTGTCAGCTTGGGAGGCAGCAGACCGGGTTCTCTCAGGGACATTGTCGGCACTGGGCATAAGGCCAGCAAGCTGGGTATTGCCTAGCCCTCCCCTTCCCCAGCCAGACAGAGGCTGCAATTTGGGAGAAGGAGCCAAAAGAAATATGCGACACCGCTGCGGGCCATACAAGGGCAGTGTGGACCCGGGAGCGCCCGACTCCTAGCAAGCTCATGCGGGGGTGCTCTTTCCACCTGAACCTGGTCTCATTCCCAGAGGCATAACAGTTTGGGGCTCTTTCACTCTAGGAAGCCTCAATTCCTTGTCTCTGCTACCTGCGATCCCGCCACCTGGGAAGGTATGAGGCTACCCACACAGCCGCCCAACCCCTGCTAATGCCCAACTTGGGCGAGAGTTGCCGTCCATCCCTTCTCTTTCACCTCCAGCAAGGCTCCAAGTTCAGGCGGGAGAGGGTGGGGTCAACCCACGCCCTCCAGCTAAGAAAGCTGTCTTTTCCAGCAACAAGCGGGCTTGGAATTCACAATTTGTGGATGATGTTCTCTAGCTGTGCATACCTGCCACTGCTCCAACTGCAGGCCCCCTCAGAAGGACCTGAGGAAAAGCTCTCCTGGTGTCCCAAGAGGCTCGGCTCCACCCCTTCCCGCGCCGGGCCGCAGCCTCCTCCCGCCTCCCCACTCTTGCTCCTGGGACACTCGAATATAGACTGCAAACTGGCTGAAAGAAGAGTGCCGTGCACGAAAGTCGCCTGGTGCCGGGGACCTGGGAAGGAGGGGCGCATGCCGGGAGCGCAAAGCTCCGGCCCCTACCGCAATGCCAGCTCCGGCTATTCAGGGTATGGGTCCCCCAGCGACCTCACTCACCCGCGGCGTGGCGACAGCAGCAGCAAGCAGCCAGCAGGAAGGCGCAGAGGAGCCTGGACAGCCTCATGCTTCCCGGTGGAGGGCCAGCGCCAAGTGAGAAAACTAGCGACCGCCGGGGCTGACGTCAGGAGGAGGGGGAGGGGGCCCCTGAGCCGGGCGGGCCGTGCCCCGCCCCGCCCCGCCCCGCCCCGCAGCCCCCAGCCCCTCCCAAGGCACAGCACCGAGGGAGGCGAGAGTGGTCTCCCAGCCCCGACCTTGGGGAGGTTGAGGGGGCAGGGACAGGTGTCTCTGGCCAGACCGACTAGCCAAAGCGGTATCACAGAGAAGCTGGCCCCAATGGCCAGAGTCGCCGCGGTCAGAACCAAGAGCCCTCAGCCACCGGCTCAGCTCCTACCAGCAAGTGCAGCCCTGAGTGACCTCCTGGCGGAGGAGCAGCTAACAAAGGCCTTGCATTCAGTATCCTCTCTCCACCCCACCGGACTTCTGCTACCGAGAAAAAAGACGATTGCACTTTTGTGGATGCCGCCGGCCTGGCACTGCCCCCACGCCCGGCAGTCCTGGCATCTTTGAGGGAAAAACCCTGGCCGGATCCCACATAGATACACAGGTACCGGTATTGGGGAGTGGAGACGGTACCTTTGGGCTGTTCCTTCAAACCCAAGCTACTGCAAGTCTGTCCTGGACTAGAGGAAGGAGGGAGGGCGCTGAATTCACAGGCCCAAGGTTTTCACACTTGTCCAAGCCCAGGCCTTGAGAATTTTGTTTCTGTCCTCTTTGCTCATTCAGTTCCTAGGCTCAGTTTCCCCTCACTACAATGGAAAGAGGGAAAGAACAAGTTTAATGTGTACAAGGTCTCCAGCTTGACTCCTGAAAACCTGTTGCTGTTCGGAACAGTTGAAAGGACCTGCTGCAGCAGGGCTCTACTCACCACTGGCAGGCTCACTGGGGAGTGGGATGGGATCTTGCCTCAGAGAGATCCTATGCCCTGGCTCCTGGGACTCCTTCAACAAGGGAGGGTCAAATAAGGGCTTGGATTTGAGGTGGAGGCCTGTCACCTGGCCAGGCAGACTTTCTTCTGGTTGGGCAGGAACAGGGTGAGGCAGCAAACACCAGAGATGGGCCATTGACTTGACATAATGCTCTGGGATGGCGCTTTGATGACGCAGAGATGACTAGCAAACCGCATCAACCTTGCCTTTCAGAACCTTGATGACCTCCTCCTCCATCTCTGTTAGTTTCCACCCAGGGTCCTGGTACGAGGGTGATAGAGGAAGAAGACGACCATGGTTTCCCATCCCCGAGAGTGAATGTATGGACTGGCTCAGGGCCTGGAGTGGAATGGATGAGCTTGTCTGTCTGCACAAGCAGCAGTGGGAATGGCTGAAGGATGTGTTTTGCCTCAGAAAGCCCAGCGCTGGGCATGCAGCTCTGACTCCCTGCCCCCACCCCCTTCCCTTCACTTAACAATATTAACTAATCATTCTCCTTTCTTAGGCCTGAAGACAATGCCAGCTAAACCACAAAGGACAGTCAGTGCAGAATTCTTTCACCCTGAGGAAAGATAAGCCATATTGGGTTAGAGGAACTGCCTCTGCAGTGAAGGGAAAATGAAGTTAGAGCCCAGGGTGACATCCCTTCCCGGCATCACCCCACCAGACTAGCACAGACTGTCCTTTAAGGAAGCCAGTAAGCTTGGGGTGATCTGAATTTCCAAGGAGCAGACATCTTTGGGATGGCTTAATAAGGGGGGCACTTTGGGATTCCAAACCAAAGAGGCAAGACCTTGGAGTTGATTCAGAGGGGACTGGAAACAGGAAGAAAGGGGAGTGAAGACAGAACAGGGTAGATGGAGCAGAAAATGTTATGTGTCAGCTCTCTGAGCTTTCTGCCAGAAGGGACTCTTGCTTCAGGCCTGGACTGGAGGCAGTCTTGCCCAGATATAGGCCAAGATCAGAAGAAGAGGCCCCCTGACTAGAGTCCTAATTCTTTGCCTGATTTCCCAACAGAAAGAAGGAGTACGAATGCTGCCTCCTAGCATCCCGTGGTAGGCCCGGGCTACTCAGAGATAAGAGAAGCCCATTGTGTGAAAGGTCCTCTGTTGTGTCTCTCTGGCATAGGTGTGATGGCGGCGGGATGGGGTGGTGGCTGTATTCTAGGTACCTCAGCTAAAGTCTCCAGGGTGGGTGGGTCTTTCATTTCATTGTAAGAAGAAGTGGAGAAAAGTGGGGCCCAGCTCCAGTGGAGCCGGAGATAAAACGACAAGGGGGAGGTAAAAATCCCGCCCCCACCAGGGCTCACTGGGATGAGATTTGAACCTAGGAGCCCTCCCTCAGCTCTAGCATAGTGAGCATGGTGGCCTCCCACCCACCCCTCTGGTCCAGGGGCCTCAACCAGGAGGATGTGAGAAATGCAGGCTGGGCTGAGGAAGGAAGCTGATAAAGACAAGTTTGCAGCTGCAATGAGAAGGAGCTGGGGATGGAGGGGAAGTGGCCCAGCAATCTTGACAATTATAGAGGCTGGGGAACAAATCCACTGAACTGGCCAGAAAATAGGGTCCAGTCTGGGATGGAGAGGAGGTAGGAGAATTTTTCCAGAATGGGGATCTGAGTTGGGAGATGACTGTGCTGAGGAGTAAAAAACTGAGTGGGAGGAGGGTGGAGGTAGTTGTTGCTCAGGACGTCATTAGGGCAGGAAACCGGATACTGGGGGCTGGGTGGAAGATGTAGGGAAGATATTGAATAGGGGGAAGCGGCCCCTATCCTGGCCTCTGCACCTGACCCAGGGTAGGAGAAAGGTGCTGCCTGAGTTGAGGTGTGCCCCAGAAAGACTGTGGAAGAAGAGGAGGGTGATTTGGGGGGATGGGAGGGGCTATTTTTAAACTTGGAAAAAAGTGAGTTCATCTCCACCCTGAGTGCTGGAGGCTGCAAAGGCCCCATTGTACAGGGGTCCGGAGAAGGAGAGGGGGAGGGCAAGTGGCACAATGGCGAGGATTATGTTGGAGCAGGCACAGGGGGAGGACTTGGGGTGGGGAGGAGGGTCTTCTTCACAGCTGGCCTCCTGAACTCCAGGGTTCAGCCAGGCTAAGGTTTGGACAGGAGGGTTTCCCACTCACACAAAGTCCCCAGGGTCTCTGGCATCTCTGGCTCATCATGAGGAGGGGGCTGTGGGTGGGATTCCCACAGCCTGGCTTTCCCAGGGACTGCAGGGTCTGTTCCCAGGCTCCCAGCATTCCAGTGACTCCCCTGGGAGCTTGCTGGCCTCTACTCTCAGCCCCTTCCCTGCCAGGAAGTGGGGAGAGAGAAGGAGAAAGAGGATGTGGATGTATAGGGACTCCTCCTGGGGAGTGGGCACCCTTAAGCCAGAGGAAGGGGGCAGAAGTGGGTTGGTGGTGTATGCTGAGTGTGGTCACAGCGGGCCCATCCTATTCCCCACCCTGCGGTGCCCTCAGACAGGGGACTGTCACTTTTGTCCCCTCTGACCCCAGGGACCTTTCCACGTGGACAGTCCTCCAGCACCCAATGCCCCAGCTCAGGGGATCCCATGGCATTCTAACAGCCCTTGTCCCCCAGGTCTTCCCTAGCAGTGGCCGCGAGAAGGCGGGGCATCCGCTGCAGCTGCTCACACCAACTCAAACATTACCATAAATGCTCAGGCAGCGCCCGGCGCCGGCGGGAGGGGCTCCTACTGGGGATTCTGGGTCCCTCAGGAAGCCCCGAAACCGGTCTGCCGGCCTTTCCTAGCACAGGCCGGCAGTGAGGTTCAGTCTGCTCCCTCCCCACTGTGGAAAGTGGTCCTCTAGAGTTGGGGGTGGAGTTGAGCAGAGAGCCGAGGCTGCCTCCTGCGGGTTACCTACTGGGTGCACAGTGACTTCTCTGATCAAGGAAGGAATAGGACCTTCCAGCCCAGCGTCCAGCACTGGGACAGGGGTGAGGACTTCTGGGTCTCCCTCTATTTTCTGAAGGACCCACTCCTGTCAGCTGTAATAACGGGGCCCCCTGCCCCCAATCCTGGGTCTCAGTTCTCTGGCCTCTGAGGGCCTTAATCTTTTCCCACCTGCTCCTCCCACCCAAAATTTGGAGAGTGGAGCATGTTGACAAGAGGGTTAGGAACACAACACTGAGAGTTTACATCTCTCCACCTCATGGAAGTTCACATCCTCTCCCCAGAATACCATCATGGGTGTGGGGTGGGGGGATGTCCCCAGAGAGCTCTTTAAATTTGACTGACTTATCCCTGAGAAAACGCCAGCTAGTCTACAGGAAAGGAGTCTATGGGAAACCTAGGAATGCCAGTTCTGGGTCTCCTGGTCCCTTTCCTCCCTGAAGACCACTTCTGCATTTGTTTTTCCTTCCATACAGAACTTGGAGCAACCCAGGAGGAACCCTGTTCCACTTCGCCCTGGTGGGCTTATGATCCCCATTAAGGTTGCCACACCTGATCTTGGAGGAAGGCAGGGAGGTGAGAGGAAAGGCAAGAGGGGAGGCAAGCCAGGGGCCTGCTCCCTGCCTTCTTGACCCACACTCCCAGTAGCTGGGGCTAAAAGAGAACTTGAAAAGTACAGAGAATACAGGATTTGAAGTCAGTGAAAGTCCCAAATTAGATTAGACCAGGCTGTGCTTCCCTGTGGCACTTTTCTTTGATATCCCCATCGCTCTGGAAAGTGCTTGCTTAACTTTGGTCTCAAACACCTGGATTTAAACTCCATGAAGAAACTGGTGGCTTTGAGGCATCCCTGCCACTTAGTTAATCGTGGGCAAGTGATTGAACAGTGACTCTTCAGAGGGAACATGGCAGTGCTAGAATGAGGGAAGAAGCTACTCATATTTAACATTTGTACAGTGCTTTACAACTTAGATGTTTCACTTATGAATCATTTTCATCACTGATATTTATCTTGATCTTTGCAACAAAAAATAAGGAAACTAAAGGACAAAGAATTATAAGACCTAAAGTCACACAGCCTGTGTGAGTGATGAAACTACATTGTTTTATTGTGATAAAGTACACATAACATAAAAGTTACCCCTTTGACCATTTTAAGTGTACAGTTCAGTGGCATGAAGTACATTCAAA